CATCACCATCATCACCATCACCATCATCATCACCATCACCATCATCACCATCATCACCATCATCATTTTAAAGAACAGGATCCGAGTACCCCTTTGTTTTCTGACAAGAGTGAGAGGAGCACTAGCATTTCGTCCTCACCAACTACTCTGGGGCAGCCAGTGGCATCAAGAAAGCGGCAAGAGTAAAACTGTGAACAGAAAGGAAGGCAACATTTTGATCCATGGAAAGGGAAGGAGTAGATGTGTATTTATTAAATAGTCACTTAGAAGTATTTCAGCAACCCAAGAATTTCTTTAATACCTGAATGTGATATTTTAAACTGCCACATTATTCACTGTTATGGGCTAAATTGTGTCCCTACGAAATTTCTATGTTGAAGTCCCAAGTCCAAAACCCCAGTACCCTGGAGTGACTGTGAAAGAGATGGGGCCTGTAATGGGGTAATTAAGGTAAAATAATGTCGTACGGGTGGGTCCAAGCCAGTATGACTGGTGTCCTGGTCAGAGGAAAGGAAATAGTTCAGAGACAGGCACAGAGAGAGGACCAGGTGCAGACGGGGAAGAAGGCAAGCCAAGGAGGAAAATCCCTCAGAGGGAATACGACCTGCTGACCTCTCGAGCCTGGGCTGTGGCTTCCAGAACTTACGTAAGGAAACAAATTTCTGGTTTTTAAGCCATCCAGTCAGCGCTTTGTTGCTGCAGCCCTAGAAAATGAATTCATGCACACTCATGAAATTAGGGACTTTCTAATAAAAAGAAATCTAAAATGTTTTACTAATCATTTTCTGGACAATCAAAGTGTTTACACTGAATATAGAGCACTTGTTCAAAGTCCTAGAATATTCCTAAGCACTAAGAGGTCTGGAAATACCAAGAATAGGCTGAAAAACACTTCTCAGTGAGATACAGATACTTACTGAACCCCTAAAGTAAAGAAGTCCGAAGACGACATCATCGCTTTCCTATATCACAACAAGAAGTCCATAAGTATAAAATTAAGCAAGAAATAAAGG